GAAGTTGTGATAGACTTTGGTGAGACATTTCAACCTCGACATAAAAAAGAGAATCGAAGTCAGAATGTTCGAATGTAATTAACCCATTGACGACACCTTGACGCGCATGCGCGTCAAGCCTTGCAGACCGCGAGGGACCGAGTGACGCGCATGCGCGTCAAGGTTTTGTCACCACTCCTTTTTTGCGANATCGCAACTTTTTGGAGTTTTTCTATGTTTATTCGATAGATAAAACATTAAGTCTTCTACAAACAACGTGGTCCATGATCGGAGCAAATATGGTTTATTCCAGCAAAGATTTTCCAAACCTTGTAAAAGTCTCACCTAAAAGACTGAACTTTGACTTCTTTTTCAGGACAAACACATAAATAAATCATAGAATCAATCATAAGTAATTAGTAATAAGGCACAATAACTTCAAAAGATTACGTTTCTATGCGACAGGACTTGTGTTTTTTATTGAAACAATCAATGCGAAATAATTTCCTGAACCTACTGCAACGTGGGTTGACCCTTTTTGTTCTTTTCGACGCTCTAGCAGATCCTTGCTCTTTGGACATTGCTGCGTAACGCTCTACACATCTCATCCTGTTAATTCCTTTTAGATCTCTAGGTACCTCCTCCAACACATGTCGCAGGAGCGACAGTGATGACTCGAATTGTAGCCATAATCAACATTTAGCAGGGATTTGACCACTTCTAATTTGAAGTCATTAAGCCTGATATTCTTCACCACATCGTTGTACAGCTTCCAAGCGTTTGCAACTCCAGCCATTTTATAGGTGTTGCTTTCGAGATGTTCCTCGTCGTTGATGTTATGAGAATTTGCAATTGGCCAGGCGACTATGTGGCGCACGACTTGTCTGCACTTGTCTTAGCGAGGCAATGGAAATTCACATACTCCAGATTTCACTAATAGCAAGCAAAATTCCTTGCTACCCCCGATTCTCCCTTTCCTACAGCCTTCTAGGCCTCTAGGTGGCAATTTCCTGTCTTTGCGTTACAAGTGCTTCGAAGCTGTTTCTATATCGCTAAGAGGGAGCAGACAAGCAGGGCACCTCCCTGTTGACTAATCTTTTCATTCACCAACATAATACACTTTTTATGTTGCCTCTCAGCTTTGGCTTCCAAAAAGTGCACCTCGTGAGACACCTTGACGCGCATGCGCGTCAAGCTGGCTGCGCCCACCGGAACGCTCATGTCCCACGCGGCCGAAAAATCCAAAACGTGCGCTGTCGTCAATGGGTTAATCTGCAACACTTGAAGCTTTCAGCGACCTACACCAGATATACATGTCCAGAGCACAAGTTTTTTAAATGAAATTTTGGTTGTTTCTGAAAGTAATTGAACGATTTCGGACGAAGAGAGAACTGCGCTCGAGGACCTGCCTTGATAACACCGCTGGTATCTAGTCTTGAATTCGTCATCATGAGAGGTTGAAACAGATGTAGTGTTTCAAAGTGAATAAAAATTCCTGCTGATTTGAAAATCTTGTTCCTCCCAATAAACAAATTAACTCACTTCGTCTTTGCCTAGGCCTCTCCATGACATGAAACCCAACATCTCCATCATGATGTAGAAAAGCGCCTCTGCACAATCCGTTACATTAACGACGCTATCTGAATTGACCAACGATTCCTGAGTGCGCCTTTCTGAATGCTCTTGAATTATGACATACTATGAACTTTTTTGCATAGCCCCTTTGTTTCTATGCGCCGAGGACCATAGAAACAAACAAAAGAGTACAGAATTTATTTTTGCGGACTCGAGAAGACGCTTTTCAAGCAGCCCTCCACTCTCGCCCTGAGTTGAGGATGATGGTGGGCTAGTGATAAGTAATGGTCGAAGATAAAACTGATTATTGGAAAAGGCACAGCTTTTGAGAAAATTATTTTAATCTATTACCATAGGCAACGCTTCTTATCTGGATAAGTGATTGCTATTCGCAGTTTCGATATGATCTGTAATTTAAAGACACAGTTACGATTAGAAAGATTTTTGCGAATCTCCCTCTGATGAACTATGAATGTTGCACCCATAGCGAACGAATGTCAATGGCATTCCAGGGGATGCACCTTTCAAGGGAGTCCCATGTAGGAACTTTAAACAACTTGTCATGAGTCACGGTAACAGTGGAAGGAAGTTTCGGTCAGTTTGGGTTGATGCAGTCAGATTTTCACGTAACTACATCAAAGGAAATCTGGTACGAAAACTCCTCCCTGCCACTCCGTCATGCTGATCTCGTGAAACCTCTATGTTGTTATTAATTTTAATTTGGAGTACCCTTTTCGAGTTGAAAAATGGAACTGTTGTTAGAGAGTAGTGCATCTGTGGCGAGAAAGCGAGAAAATCCGTCGACATCGCAAAACTGCGCCTATGAGCTCTACGGACAGAAGCGCGTCGAGCAGTAGTCATAAAAGACATTACGCAATCCTCTCTCGTGCAATTTTCATAATTGAGCTCACCCAATCTTCTGGAATATTTCCTGAAGAAAGAATTTTGCTAAACGATTCGCTATTTAGCGTGTGAGGAGCTGCGAGCATCTCAAAAGTTCTACCCGAACTCAATTGGTCGAGCGCTCTATCTTTTTTCGCTTGTCGAACACTTCTGACCCTTGCGATTAAGGCAATTGCTATTCTTTTCCTTCAAGTGCGTTATCAAACGACATCGCGCATGGCTGCAATACCGCTTTCTTGGGAATCTGTCCAAAACTCCGTTTTTATATCATTCAAACACTAGCGACTCTACCTTACAGTCATGTTTAGAACGGTCTGAGCCACAAGTGTCACAGCTTAACCAGTTCCTTTCGAATGTCCAGCATTTTCAATGTACCAGGTTCCAAACGCTCTCGAGGTTTGCTGCAAACGTGTTTCGAAGCATCTTCTTATTATAAAGCGGTAACCTTGTGTCTGTTTATATGTCCATGTGTGCTACCTTCCGAAAGGCACGATGAAGAGTGTGAACGTCACATAACCGCGATGAGGACAAGTTATGAAATGGGAAGTCAACCGGTACTGTTTACACTTGTATTCTAAAATGTCGTAGGTAAGCGGTAGTGGGCTTGTGGTGCACGCGTTAGCGCGCGTAGCCCAATTGGTTTGAACAGGATTTGAAGGCTGAGATAATAACGGATCTGACGGCTCAGGTAGTTTTTTCGTACTTGGTTTGTAGCCCTCTACATCTCAGAAAGAGATCTCCAACAGAACCAAGTGCTCTCAGCATTCGGTCGAAGATTGTATTGGAGTACGCCTTCAGTATATGTATGTTGCCAGCAGTCTTCGTTCACTGATTTAAACCAAGAATTTTCCTCTACTTTTCCTTTTAGAAACAGAACGGGCAGTATTCGCCTCAGTTCTCGACCTAGGTGGGCACTGAAGTCCCTAGAACACACGATGCAATTGCTTAGGGGAGATCGGTTATTGCGCTCTCGAGCGCACCAGGGAAGGATAATATTTTCCTTGTATTTGTTGCAGATTACTTGAGTATAAACGAAACGCTCATTCAAAAAAAAAACTTCGCAATATGCAATCCTTGAAATGTGCAGGTTGGCAATGTTTCCCCACAGCCTCGCCCCTTCATATTGAGCTATCACGTGCAGTAAAATTTTCGCTGGGGACACAGAACAGCGAATAAACCGATTAGTATTGATCTGTTGAGCATTTGTTCGACTATTGACAGGATCGGTCCCTTCAAAAGTACAGTGCTCAAACTCAAGGGAAGTTGAAGAAAAGTGGCGGTTACGAAGAGGGTAGTCGGGTGAAGACCTTTTTAAGCGAAGAACTAGCAGAAGATAGAAGGGGCGTGCAGAAGACGCAACTGGATTGAATCAAGCGATGATGGAGGAGGAATGAAACGGGATTATGTGAAAAATGGTTGCTGCATAATAAATGATTCATTCCCCATTGTTTCCCAACCCATAAGTGTGGAAGCATATGTAGTTGCAAATGTAGCGATCGATGATGATCAACTGATTTTGATCTGTGTCAATTGCACTTTTCGTTAGGGGGCTACTGAAAACTCAATTTTCTCTTGACTCAAGAAGCAGGGCTTTTTAAGGTACTCCAACTGTAGCACAAGGAGGACGGTCAGAAGTAAGCCGTGTACTCTATGATGGTGCTATGAAGGTTGACTGTGAAATGTAGTATTTAAGCCGCAGTTCACGGCAAAAACGGTTTCTTAGGTTTCCCCTCAGGACTAGCCCCCAAGGAACACAAAGGACGCTGTCGGGCCCAAAAATTCAAGAGCTAGAACATAATAGGAGCCCCATTAATCGGATCGGTCGGATGCGACCCCAATCGACCGATGTTTGTCACAAGAGTTATAGAGGCAATACGGGTTGCAATATCCGCACCAGGACCCTTTCGTTCAGTATATAATCAGGTAATCAATTAGAGGGATTTTAACGTTCAGTGAACGTGTGGTACAATAATCCACTAGTGCCCCACCAACACACCCCCGTGGACTTGACGCGAGGTATCTTTCTGTTGCGTCGTATATGTGACGGGTTTTTGAGGCGTTCAGTGTGTTCAGGTTACTGTGTACACAGTCATGGGACGATAATTCCGTCTTGTATCTCCGAGTGGTGAGGGGATGTTTCACTGCCGTTCTATTATTCTCTGCTGCTGTCAATCTTCAGATTTCCTGCATGCTCGGCTGCAGCAGTATATCCACAATGCAGAAGAATAATAGAAAAAATTCCATCCTTCAACATCAATTTAGTCAGTTCTATGCAGCTGCACACGTTGCAGGAGCACTTGCCCAATCATGCTTAGCAGGCTATTTTTTGCCCGTAACTCTTCCAACTCTCAGTTCCACTGCTTCTTTAGATACGCCAATTCTCGCACTCTTTTCACCTTTTTTGCACTATTCTGAACGTTGCTTTCATTATCCGTCTAAAACCGAAGTATTAGTATATAAGTATCGCGAGTATCGCGAACTGTGCCTTCGATGGAACGAACACGTGAATGACCCATAATAACCTCAGCTGTCACTGTGACAATTCACTCACTCTTTCCGTTTTCGTGCCAACTGAGAGGCGCGAATTCTGGACAACCACGCCAGTGATTATGAAACAGAACTTCTTCGTTCTTTACCTTCAAGTCCATTAGTTCTGTACTTTTGGCAACCTAAAAGCCTTTACATATTTTCGTGGAACAAAATACAATCAAGACTACATTTCATCGAAACTATCAACTGCACGAATTAACTTTTCGCTATGTCACCTACTTCAGATGCATTGTTCAGATACAAGCGACGACTCCTTATATCTAGGTGGAAGTGAGACATATCGACATTCCGAAAGGTGTAGCCTGTTTCGTAAACCAGTTCTATGATCTGGAATGACTAATCATGACTTTTAAGGATGCAAACCGGTTTCATGGTTCATCAATGAAGAACCATTCTAGAATAGGGGTATCTCGATGAAGTTCGAACAGAATAAGTGCAAAAGATTCCGAAGGAATGTATTTGCCGTAAGCAGATGGTTCAAACCCCTATGGTACCTTGAAGGCACCTTGAATTCTGAAAAGTATTTCACGAGGAGGGTTCTGAAATATTCAGCTACCCGCGGTACGCTTCAGAGTTTCACAGCTGTTTCAGCGTGTAATAATTTCGGATATTGCTACATTCCTTACTACATAGGGTGTTCTAAAATTATTGGCGCCTATATAATCCAATGTATTTTACGCTGTAAACAGCGAGCGACGATGAAGTTTATACGTACATTTACTTACATTATGTACAACATTAACGTGCAATTGAATTTCAAAATGTCTTTCATCGGCAAAAGAACAAGCTCTAAGTCTCTTTTTAAATTCGTCGCACGTGGCACGCAGGTATCCTTCATCCATTTCTTCCCAGGTTTTCTTTAGTGCTGCTTTCAAAGACTCCAGATTAGGGTGATGAACTCGACAGGCCTTCCATCCAATTAAGGACCACACAAAGAAGTCAAGCGGGTTGAGGTCTGACGAGCAAGATGACCAATCCTCGGCGTTAATGAAGTCGGTCAACTCTCGTCGGCACCACTCCTGGACGGGCTTGGCTTTGTGGGCTAAAGCGCTGTCCTGCTGAAAGCACAATGGACTGTTTTCGAAGTGGGAATCGGACCGTTGCTTCGACATGTCCATCAGTATGTTTTTTAGGTAAACGTCCTTATTAATTTTCACGCCTGCATCGACTGAAAACCAACGGTGTCTCACCAGTGGCCGTGATCCCCCCAAATCATCATTGCGGCAGGGTTAGCTGTTCTTTCAACTATTCTTCCTCGAGACATAGCACTTCCAATGTTTTCTGCCAGAATGCGGTCATTTTGGCAGTTTAGAACTGGCTCAATGGTGAAAGGTTTCTTGTCAGAGAAAACGAATGAGGTGTGTGTCACCACTGAAGTGGGTCAGCAATCCCCTGCTGCATATGTCATGTCCAACTTTCGATTAACCTCGGCATATTGAAACAACTTCGTCGTTAGTTGTATTAGCCTTTAAGATTGTTAATAACACTTCATACACACGGCTTACGTTTCGGCAATATCGCCTTCGTCGGAGCCTGTAAGTCAAAACTATATTTGTGATTCATAGATTACCTTTTCAATTTACAAGAAGAGCATTCTAAAAGGAAGCAAAGCAGAAACGACGAGCTGACCTGTGACCTGCTGGAAGTAGTCTATGAATCATAAATATAGATCCGACTTACAGGCTCCGACGAAGGAAATCTTCTGCATTTTTCGGCTCTACGATGCCTTTTTCGACAGAAATGAAGTGGCACTTTTGTATACGATAGGAGCAGCAATGAAACTTGTCCTTAACAATCCTTCCCACCGAAGACTTCGACATACCCAGCTCTCTCGCCATTCCTCTGATGGACCGCCAAGGGTTGCGATCGACTCTCGAGCGGATTGCTTTGATAATCCTATCATATGTCCTTATCAATGGACATTTTTTTACGGAGATATCATTAATTGAGAATTCCAGATTACTGGCGATCGTTTAAGTTTTGTCGCAAATGGTATCGAACAAAAAGGATCCTTCACTGATGGTGAGTCTCAAACCTTGCCAGGTAGCGGTTGTAACCTGATAGCAATAAATGAACAAAGTACTCACCTGCTTATCGTAGTAGGCTAATGGGTCCCTACCCTGCCCTAATCACTCACTTTTGTCGCCCTACTCTACCATCCCGTCTTATTGAATGAAACATGTCAAAGAGTAAAAGTTTGATTGTGAATATCATTGCCATTAGGATTTAACTGGTAAGTGGCTCTTACACTTCATGGCCAATTATACCAGCCCTTATCAGTTGTTATCAGTTACGGTCACAGCGTACCTACGACCATGCCACACATCCCACACCACCTATAAAAGGCCAAGGTTCCCAGTGTTGACACGAAGGGGATAAACTTAGCGGATTTAGCATTCTAGGCTCTTCCTCAGCCCTTGCCCTCTTGTTACCAGTCCTTGTCACCAATTACCTCCGCTCCCTTTAGAGCCCACACCGCCTAATAAAGTGCCCCACCGTTAATATGAAAGACGTTGTAGACCTAATGGCTCTACCATTCTATGGCTCGTTATCAGTCTCTGATTCAGTCTAGTTGTTATTGAGCCTCATGACTAAACATCTACGGTGCCTTCTCAATCCACGCCCTTACTAAAGTGCCAAGGCTCTACCGTTTACACATAAGAGGTAACGGATTTTGCGGCCCACGCCTTCTAAGACTTTCCATCAGCTGCTTTCAATTCTTATCACCTCTTATCACCTATCAGCAGTGTTCCCATCCTAACGCATGTACTCCTGTCGCTCTAGGTCCACGTAAACAGGAGTTAGTAATTTGCGGTCAAAAATGCCTATCGCGCACGCCCCGCCTCCTGTGGGTGGAGTCTGGTCCTGCCATGAGTGTTTCCATCCTGCCGCCTGCACTTCTACCAAATTTCAACGCCCTAGATCCACGGAAGCAGGAACTATGAATTTCCGGTGAAACACACACCGATACACACACACACATGCACCTACCCAAATACACACACACAAACACACCGACAAACCAAAAATACACTTAGCGAATTATATATAGTAGGATAGAGCGATGATTTCGGGAGAAACATTACTAAACAATACAATTCATATATGTGCACGTGTGCATCAATGCTATAGTGAGTATGGCTTGGATAACATTTTTCATCGTTGATAGCCACGAAAATTTTCAGGCGTCCATGCATATGTAAGAATGTGCGGGAGACATTACGAGCTCATTTAAGTCCATTTTCTTTCAACCGCAGAAAATTCGCACTTATCAATTCATGGAGTAATTACGCATGATGCTGTTATTGATATCTCATAGAATTTGAGTAATGCACTCTCTCGTCCTATAGTTCTTTCCCACAGAAATGAGCAGAATCAGCACTAAGATCATCTGCAACAGTACACCACAGGCATCTTTGTTCTAAAATGTTACAATACGTGTTAAGGAGGACTCCCACGGTCAAGGAAGACTCCCAAGGTCAACACTCCATTTTAAAAGCATTTGTGATGATCCTTGAAGCGAGCTAAGGCAGCATATAGTCACAGAGAAGATCTATTTCAAAAATACACTATAACAATATTTCACAAAGAGAAAAGGAGCTCATACACTCGAATGCAAATCCTCGTGCAGCCTGCGAGAGCACCGCTCTAACGACTACATCCTCTTTTAGCATGGGTAATGACTTAATGAACTTTTACGTAAGTAGGAATCCCAGACAAGGATGAAGCACGTTCCGTTTTGTTCCAAAATCGCCTCATAAGTTTGGAAATTTGGCTTCAGATCAGCATCCGAAAACACTCAAGTCATAATACATTTCATTTTGAATGGCCATCGCCACTAAAATACGTTCTAAATGTGAAACAAAGGCGTATTACGCACTGTGAGAATATCGGCTGCCAGACGACCAACCGTTCCTATGCTCCACGCCTTCGTTTCTAGAGTTCCCTGTGGAGGATGAGGGTAAGCGTGCCATAAATCATGAAGCGAGATAGAATCACTGCAAAATACCGTTCTGTAAATCACTGAATTAGGTTCCGACAAAGTCTGCTTTCAGGAGTCAAACCGCTCCTATGCTCCCATTCTTTCTAGAAGTGCACTTTTTATATGAGACCAGGTTCGAGGCTTGATTCGCCCTAGTCAATGAATGTGCCTTCAAACCGTCACCCTCGACGTACGTTATATCTCATCATGGAAATATGCAAATACTATGACCAACTACAACTATTTTTACTACAGTTTGTAGAAATGTAATTAGTTTACCGCAGCAACACTATGGCATAGAAGAATGGAGGAGATTGCGGAGCCGCATCTATGAAACGAGCTTCAACAATCGTTTGGAACATGGAAGAGCGATTTCTCTCCGATTGCTAAAAAACGTCAGCTTAAGACATCAACAGGATCATAATAATCACTATAAAAAAGATTGAATGAAGCATTTCTTAGAGCAAACACTGCATTTGAACATCAAGTTTGCTGAAAAAAATTGCGTGGCGCAATGTATTACGTGCTCAAAACTCACAATTTGTACAAAGTACATTTCTTCCGGAAGGGTGGCGAAAGGGCTCTCCGTTAGTTGGGCATATAGAACACACTGGAAACCTGAAGCTCCATAGCATTTTGAAAAGAAGCGAATCATACCTGGGCGGCAGCATCTCCTTCTTCGACAACGAGGTATGCTATTACACCATACCGATGTGATGGAACTTCATCTAAGACCTGTAAAAAGACATGAACCACAATCTTCCGTGCGCTTGAAGAGTCACACCAACATTCGAAAACGGTAGGGAAAAATTTGAGGTGTACTATAATAGGAAAGCAGAGAACATTATACAGTAGTAGGTACANACCAGCCATCGCCCAAAGAAGACCTCTCCTGGAACAAAAATCCTCCAGAAAATGCTAACGTCGACAAAAGGGAGCAAGCTATTACACGGGCTTGGAATGAACGTTTTCGCCAACTTTGCACTGAAATTCTCCTGCAGCAAAGCAAAGTCAGTATTAGTTGATTCATTGGGTATGGAATAGATCTGCTTACCGAATGGCTGTCGAGCTTCATTCTTTTGTCCATAGCCTGCAAATTTCTCGGTAGGTTCCTCTTCCTCTCCTGCTCGCGAACATCTTTCCTTCGAGATAAATTCGGCCTCACACCACTTTTTGGTAGCCTCTCCGCTTTGTTTCCTTCTCGTTCTTCCAACTTTTGTTTGCCCTTCTCTAGTCGTATCGCCTCCTTCAACTCTGGTCCGTCTTTTTTCATTTGATTAGTCACCACACCTTCTGTTGATTTTTGTTCCCTGGAGACGGAACAAATCTTTGGCTTGGTTGGAAATTCTTTAGCACGGACCAGTGCCGGAGTAATACCTTCACCTCTATCGCTAGCTGCAGTGGAGATCCGCGATCCATCTAAAGGGCACAAAAAAATCGAGCAAAACATTGAAGAAGCCAAAGGATTGTCATTGCTTATTTACTCACCTCCTTTACGCGTGGAAGTTGCCCTCTTCACCGACTTCTTCGAGGAAGGGCTCTTTGTGTGATTGCCACTTAGTCTGCAACTTTTGAGAACTGTAGATGATGCTCGTTTCCGGCCAGCTCCGCTTTTTCGGGCACTTACAACACCTGTAATGCGCTATAATTCAGGAAGACTACTATTGAAGTGAATGTTGTGTTAAGCAAAAGAATAATCAAGCACTACTCACCTTGTGTTTTCCATGTATGGTCAGGCACATCTGTTGGTATGTCGTGAGATGGAGGTTTACAGCGCGCAACATGCGATGTAGATTGCAGTGGTCTACCATGGTTCTTTGTGGTAGTGCCTTTCACAGAAAGGTGAGAAGGTTTAGGACATCGACGTTTCTTGACTTCCTTCCTACATGCGGATGCAACGGGACGTCTCGGTCTTAGTTGAATGCTGTTCAATATTGGCGGAGGATTGATTCGCGTGATTCGACTATTAGATCCGGTTTTTCTACTACTTCTTCTGACGGCTCTGATACTTCGCCATTTGGGGGACGCAACCGATGCTTTCCTGGAACCTGAAGTCAGGGGAATTACTATGTGAAGTAATAATGCATGAAGGGAAATTAGTGGAAGTTTTATCATAAAAGCTTTAGTTCAGCGGCGGGTTTCGGCTGAGATCCCTCAACATTGGAGCGTTTACGGTAGCTATAAGAGACGCTCGAAGTGATCCTTCCAACCTTGAAAACTATTTCTCGAAGGCATTGTGCAGAACGAGTGTTGTTTCAAATGTGAAGGATCAATGCACATAGGAGTTTCTGTAAGGTGTGTGGATAAATCCATTGAATTTTTACTTCAACGTATCTCACAGCGTGCAATCCGGTGAAGTCAAAGAGGTGATCCCGAAAGCCAATTTCCGGAAGATATGATTAGGTCGCCAAGGAAGTCCATTAATTATTGAATGACTTGTGAGGATATAGAAGTTCACACTGCTACTGGAACTAGTTATATGGGCCCTCTTCCCTTTCAATAGTGGGATTACGAAATTAGGTTCCTCATTTGTTCGTTGTCAAAGATTCAAGGTGATGAGGCATAGTCAAGACATCCCAAACACAAACTCAGGACATCCTTTCACATACATTCAGGGTGGTTTCAAATGTGGAAAAGGCGAGTTATCATAGTGGAATCGAGTTGATGTCAAAAGCTGACCTGTACCTGATTTAACTCCTCAGAGGCGCATTTGTTCAAAGAATCTTTGTATTTGTGAAACTTTGAAATATGGGATGACAAGATCTAGCATATAATATCACCTCGAGTCCGAACAGGATTCCCACAAGACGGTTGTCCACTTTTAATCCGTGAGCTGTCGACATCGGTCATGCGTGGACATTGTTCGGTGTTCACGTCCACACCAGAGGATCCCGTCTTCCTAAATGGCAAAATAAATTTTTTCTATTCCTCTGCAAACGAAAAAGTTCGGGAAAGCTCCCAAAAGTCAAGAAGCCAAGTTTCAACTTACACAGGGGGTTTCTTCAGTCGCACCATCACATCAGAAGGAGAAATCTATCGAAGATGAGGCAGAGAGGCTACCTGCAAAGCAAAGAATGCATATGAACTTCTGATCAGATTGATCCAAATCTTCAAAAAAAAAAAACAAGTCATAAGAAAATCAACTGACCACTCGCCCATCCATGGCAGTGCATTTGATTTGAAGTGCGCGGGCGCCTTCATCATATTTCTCCTTCCGTCTGCGCTCTCTCGTGGAGGTGGCACCGTAATCCTGCCGTCACCTTGCAGAGTGCAGTGCATTAACTATTCTACGGAGGTCACTCGCTCTGAATTTCCTCTCATGGTCTCAGATACCATGTTCCGAAGAGGATATTACATGAGAGTAGTTTCGTGGTCTCACAACCACACCATAAAATACATTGATCGACGAACGGAATTCCTTGCTCATGGCCAGGCTGCTCCCTTTTTGTGCTGGACAATCATTTTTGACTGCGGATCAACATCTTGTTGACATTATGGTCCGTTATAGAGGCAAATTCATCAAAGTTGCATTTGCAGCAAGGTTAGTAGGAGCGCCAGCGCCCAACCTAAATTCTGTTCGAAACCTCTTCATCGTTTTTCATCAAAAGAGTTCACAGTGTTATAGAGTACGTCGAAAGGAAAGGCTTGAAAAGAATAAAGCCAAGGTGCAATCAAACTCCATCCAAGGATCCCACCGACACCCTCTAATTGGCTTAGCTGTGAAAAGAAATTCCGAAGTTATGACCGGACTCAACAGGATTAACCGTCCACCGGTTGTGAAAACCATAGCTTAGCTCTTCACATGGTGTACATAGTACCACGTCATGGAAAACCCTCAAGACCCTCACCGCGCATCAGACGTGATAATATGTATTCCTTGCTGAAGAAGTGTTTGGACAACAATAAAGTTGCGGCCAACTTTCAGTCGATCGTTTTTTGAGGAGAACAAAGGATGAGTCAAAATCAATCTGTGATTTTTGTAGGGGGGTGAAGGGGTTGTTTCAGGTGATGGACTGCTGCAATCACGAAGCAGTGATGGAATGAAGGATAAGGAGAAGATGAAGTAATCAACAATAACAGTACTATATAAACCCCCTTGTGGTTGGTAATAAACAGTTCTACACCAGTGTCGTCTACTTCCTGAGTGGCGATTAGGATGTAACCCACGGTTAAGAAGACCGACGCAAGCAGAGGAAGCCGCAGTCAATTCAGCATCCAAGAGAGCTCAAGATGTCGACATCACTGGACGGTACCGTTTCTATTCAGGCGTCCGCGGTGGCGGAACCCGGTACCTTAGTAGAGGTCTACCGGGGACGCGCACCTGGCGCTTATGTGCCAGGTACACCGTGGCGCACTTGGTAGCGCCTATTCAATAATTTCCTCGTACTGAGGAAAGTCGGTGATAAAATTGAGCAGAGATTGATCTTTTTGTAGGAAATCGGAGGAAGTAGTTACGAGCTGTTAGAGTCGCTGCTACAAGGCAGGGAGCCAGGACAGGTGCCACTGAAGGAGCTGAACGAGGCAATGGCAAGCCACTTCCAACCGAAGAAATTGGACCTGGCGGAACGGTACGGATTGATGTCCCGAACACAGCGTTGTGGACAAACTCTATAATAGATGCCTCATGTGGGAGAACAGGGTGATAATACCCAGGAAGTTTCGAAAAACGGTGTTACGAATGCTGCATGGTAGCCACTACGGCAAGAAACGTATGGTAAGTTTGGCTCGACGGAAGATTTGGTATGCTGGAATAGATAAGGAGATAGCTCAGGTAGCTCGGACATGTGAGCGTGTGCGGTATTTGGTAACGACCCACCAAAAACACTGTTGCACTTATGGAAAGAACCAGCCAAACCATGGCAAAGGTTGCAGATTGATTTTTGCCAAACCCAGGGAGGAGAAAAATGGCTGGTAATGGTTGATGCCAAGTCTGATCGACCAGAGGTAGTGCTCATGGGTGTGACCACGGCGGAACACACGATAGAAAAACTTAGAATGATTTTTGCGCACCATGGGCTACAACAAATTGTTTCTGATAGTGGGCCACCCTTTGCATCGTTGAAGTTCAATGAATTTTGTAAGGCAAGGAACATTGAACTAATATAAATCTTGCCTTAACACCCAAATTCCAATGGAGAAGTAGAGAGATTTGTCCAAACTTTTCAAAAGGGATGGTATAAAGGAATGCGTGATGGTAAGAAGCCATCAAATATATTAACGGTATTGCTTTTCGAGTATAGAGTTACCCCTCATCCAGCCAAAGGGAAATCGCCGGCCGAAATTTTGATGGGAAGAGAGTTGAGAACCACATTGGATGTGTATAAGACAAAAGGGAAAGCATTGAGTAATCATAACTACAGGGAGCGAATGGTGGCTGACTACGGTAGAAGGGGAAGAGTAGAAAGGCATTTCGTAGTTGGACAACAGGTATATATCCGTAACTATCAAAAAGGAGATAAGTGGATTTCAGGAATACGCAGGTAGTGGGCAGGCGAACGTACGAGGTCCATTTCGGAACAGGAAGCCGGGAGGCGCACGCTGACCAATTAAAAGAGAGGATAACATCAGAGGAGGACTACGCAATGGTGGCTGGTAGGAGAATTCCCGTGCAAGAGCAAGCAAGTTAAGGCGATCTAGTCGAACACGTATGCCCACGGTTCGGATGAGAACTTACCTGGAAGAGAGGGAGAAACCTGTTCGAATAAGGAACAGCGTAAAGGTGGTGGATGTGGCAAGCCACGTGGATGGCAAGAGAGTAAGAATGGGGAAGCGTGTAAACGCCTCAGTTATGTGAACGTATGTGCCAGCTACCCCGCCCTATCCCGCATCGCCGCCACCACCGCCGCCGAGTACGCCCTCGGCGCAAATGGCGCTGTCGAGTCCGCCAATTTTAATTCAAGTCACTAGTCCCGCGCAAGGACAGGTGAGTGAATGTGTCTGTTCGAAAATTGGTCTGGAGTTGGCAGGTGAGAGAGAGTTCGGAACTGCCTATTGAGGGAGTGCCAGCGGTGTCAGCAGAAAGAGCCGTTCGCGGAACCAACCCGCCATTTCGTGGCGTGCGTGTTTACCGAGGAAGGGAAACTCGCCGTCCACGCCGGAGACGCAGGGTCGCACTGAGAAAAGATCTCAGCGAGGTACGTCTGAGGTGTGCCCAACACATGGCAAGGCTCGATGAGACGGCTCCGCCACGCGCAAGAAGGGAGGGGCAAGACCGCCCAATGGAATAAGTGATGAATTGTGTTAAATTTTTAATTGATTTTTGATTGTGGTAAAGTGGCGAGTAAAAGAGTTGTGAAGTATTGAAACTGCGGATGAGTGCAAAGGTTTTGGCGGGGGTGCGCAATTGTGGTACCTGATAAGGTAACATGTGACTTCGTCACTTGGGGGGAGATGTAGGGGGTGAAGCGGTTGATTCAGGTGATGGACTGCTGCGATCACGAAGCAGTGATGGAATGAAGGATAAGGAGAAGATGAAGTAATCAACAATAACAGTACTATATGAACCCCCTTGTGGTTGGTAATAAACAGTTCTAAACCAGTGTCGTCTACTTCCTGAGTTTTTATTCAGTCTTATGCTAAGGCTGTTTCATCGCTCATTGGATGTGTTATCGACATAAGTATGTATGTAATATAAATTCCACTCATGAATCAATTATTGTGTGTTCTCTTCGTGAATAAACGACTGCTGTGAATAAATGACTCCACAACTCAACAAGGCTACATTGCAGAAAATTTTCGATGTTGATTTCATCACGTAACTCAACAGGAAGGTGTTGTACAGGCAGCAACCAGAGTTTCCACGAGTCAAGTAGACGGTATAGTGAGGCCTTACCAGGCCGCCGAAGCCTTACCGATGAACTATTTCGACGCTGTCCTACTTTCGAAGCCAGAGATGCCTGGTTTTTTCCGGGAGTTCCCACGTTATGGTCGTGATACCAAGCTCTTGTTTATTCGAAGATAGACCTACGAACGCAACGAAGTTTTCATTGCTAGAAAGTTGCTTTGCAAGGACAAGCTCCACAGTCTATCGAAGGTATCTCCGTTGACAGCGAGAACTATAGTACGGCCGTGGATATTCTACATCAAATGTACAACAACCTCTCAGCCCTGCGCCACCTGATTTACACCGGACTTCCCTATCTCCCGCAGTGCGATTAAGAAGGAAGACGAATACAGAAAATTGTGAGGATGCGAGGGAACGTGCGAGAGAGAACAATGAAGAAGGATGAGAGGACAGGCATGATAGAGGAAGAGTGTGTATAAAAGGGTGCTACCCTCTCAAATAAATCATTTCATCCTCAGTGTTTGTCCTGGCATCGCCACTGTCAGTACGAACCGAAGAAGAAGTCGAGGAGCTCGAAGAATCCGGAGAAGCCGAAGACTTCGAAGAAGGTTTGCAACGTGATGGAGGTCAAAGAAGTAGGTGTTGTAGGGTAGACTGGTTTAGGATGAAGACCAGCGAAAATGGACAATGGTTGGAAGTGGCGTGCGAAGAAGGAAGATGGGGAAGATACAAAATGATCTAGAAGGGGGGTAAAGGATTGTATAAAAGAGTGAGAGGGGAGCAATAAACATCAACTCGTCAGCGTGTTCTCTCGCCAATCAACTGGCGATCAGCATGAGATTTTTTCCCGAGCCGCGCGCGCAGGTGCGTGCGCGTACTTGGCGTTAACAAGGAGCTCGTGCTCCGTATAGATCGAGATAGGCTGGCCAGTACATGGCGGCATTGCTCTCTTCGGGCTGTCACAGGACTTGTCGATGTACGGGGTCGTACCCGACTCCCGCAGTGGGATCCGGAGGAACTGTGGAGGAAGGAAATGGCCGCCGTCAAATGGGAGATGGCAAGGACGCCGTGATGAAAGCGTCGGCCCCGGTTGTGAAAGAAGCCACACAATGTTCTTTTGAAAGACCGATGGAATGGTGTTCTGCTTAAATAAAGTGTTTTCAAAGATAAAGCGTTTTGAGGTGATGTTAAGTAGTATAGTAAGTGGCCGGGGCCCGCGGAGTTATCAAGGTGCTGGTAGAGTGACCGGACGGTCACTGCGGGGGGATGTTGTAGGGTAGACCGGTTTAGGATGAAGGCCAGCGAAAATGGACAATGGTTGGAAGTGGCGTGCGAAGAAGGAAGGTGGAAAAGATACAAGATGATCTAAAAGAGGGATAAAGGATTGTATAAAAGAGTGAGAGGGGAGCAATAACATTTAATCGTCAGCGTGTTCTCTCGACAATCAACTGTGGGAGGCAACACCGGGAAGCCCGTGGCGTTAGAACCTGGTGTAGAAATATACCGGGGTCAATCCCCGGGGTCCTTATGTCCCACGAACGTCACAGAGGATCTGGTGGGAGCTCTTCTACAAATTCCTCGTATTGAGGAAGGTTACAAACGAGAATGTCCAGCGACTCATTTACCTGCAGGAGGTGGACAACTCAAATTATGACTTGCTTGAGTCACTCCTGCAGGGTCGCGACTTGGAGGATGTGGAACTCAAGGATTTGCGACAGGCCATAGAAAAGCTGATATTAGCAGAGAGATTTGACCTTATGTCGAAGGTCCAGAAGCTGGGACAAGCGCACGAGTACTATGCCGAGCTGCAGAAGGCAGCAAACGGTTGCACCTTTGAGGAAATCAAGAATCGCAGAGATGCGGTGGTCACAATGGTTTTCATTGGAGGACTGCTCTCAGTGGAGACAAGGAAGCGGTTGCTGGAAAATGAGGATTTGACTTTGAAGGAGGCGTTGGAACAAGCGGAAGCGTTCGAACGAGTTGGAAAAAGTGCCCCACATTTGGAGGAAGGACCACAGGCCGCAGGAGTAGCCCAGATGAGAATTCGTGGGCGGCAACCCGCTTGGCGCGCGCAAACGAACGAGCAAAAGTGGAATTCGAGCAAGGGCTCATTTCGGAAGGAGTTTAAGTGTAGGGTTTGTGGGGTTTCAGGTCATGGTGGTTACGAATGTTCTAGGAAACAAACTGCATACTGTAAAGTATGTAGGAAAAAGGGCCCCTAGCGGCGACATGTTGGAAGAGCGCTAGAGTAATCCGTCAAGTCTCCCGCCATGTGCACTGGTGTGAGTAGCCCGCCGGAAACTCCGACAAAGGTGAGGAATTGGTAACTCAGAGCGCGTGGTTGTAAAGTCACGCTTAACCCATCGTCGTAGAGCTGGCAAGAATCCGTTGTGTCGATCCTGTCCAAGAAGAGCAGTGATGGCAGATTGTGCCTTCGATGGTGGAGAAAGGGCATGCGGCAGTATGGCGGCGGTGAACTGCGGCGGTCGAAGATAAAGCGACAAGAAACCGCTAGAATGACTGAGTTTCGTGAAAAGGGAAAGCGCAGGAAGATCCGTTAGATAGAATTATCGGAAAGAAGAAGTGTAAACAAAATCAGCAGAGAAGGCGTGAGGCCTTGAAAAAAGCTGGGAGAGGTAGGCAACTTAGCTATGATCTCGTTGCCAGGGCAGCAACAGCAGCAGTAGCCGGCGATGGCCTCCGGGAGACGGGCCAGTGCTGCCCGCAGGCGAGCCCCCCAGTGGGATTGGTCCCTGCAGGGACAGGAGCCGCGGTGGCGCGCCCGTCGCCACCGGCACCAGCAATGGTGTCGGTGGTATGGGCTCAGCAGAAGAGGCAGGCAAGACAGCGTCGCCGGCCACAGAAGCGGGAGGACCTCCAGAAGATGGAAGGCGAAGAACATTCGAGAAACCGTTCGGGGTATGGGGCCGCCCCGGTCGAAGACGAAGATCAAGAAGTCGCAGCCGATCCTCAAGAAGATCGAGAAGCCGGAGCCGATCATCAAGACGAAGATCTCGAGACCAAACCTGGCTTACAGGGCTTGAGAAATAAGGCTCGAGAAAACCCCAGTGAGGATGGTGTTCGGTAATACATATGTTCGGAATAGTGTTGGTGTCAACAAACACTGGTGGAGGTCAACATAAGGGTGAACCTCCTCACCCCGAGAAGTAGCGCTCAGTGCCTTGAGTGACCGTAGGGTCACTAGGGGGAGGTGTGAGGGTGTGAGAGAACGTGTGAGAGTGGAAAATGAAGAAGGATCGGAGGACAGGCATGATAGAGGGAGACTGTGTATATAAGTGGCTCACCTCTCAAATAAATCGTTCCATCCTCAGTGTTTGTCCTGGCATCGTCACTGAAATCCACCGAAGAATACTCCGCTTTGTTAGGCATTGCTAGAGGGTAGACGGTTCAGAGCAGCATATGGTAAAAGGAACGAAAGGAATGGCTACGTGCAGAAGAAGAAGGGGACAAAGGATCACGGAAGGATGACAGGGCCGCATAAAAAAGGATGTAGTGTGGAATAAACAGTTAGTCACTGGTGTCTCTACAGCCAAATCAACTGGCAGTACACTTCCATCACCCTAGACTCACCGGAATATGGACTCGGATCACTATTACTGCGATAAATTGCCGCGATTCGTCCAATCCAAGATATATGACACAACAGGAGGACAGATAAGTCTTACCCCGTAACAACTAACAGACCTACATTCGGACGCGGTAAGGAAAGAAGTTACATCGCGACAAGTTGGATATCCCGTCAATTCCTACTGCTCAAATAAGTCCGACTTTCAAACTTTGACAGCAGGAGATACGCAATGGATCAAAAAGCCCACATCTCCCACAAATGCACGCAAAACGTCTTACCACTTCTGCTCCAGGATTAATCATATTACTTTTCTTAACTCGGCATGGCGAAGGCCACGCCAAGATCAAGTCAAGGTCGATCGTGGCGTGATCATAATAAATACATTCCAGTGGCGTGACTTCAACACCACAGACAAAGGACGTGATCGCACTCACCAGAATTATTCGTGTTTCAAATGTTTGCAATCGAATCACAGAACAAAATGGTGCAACCGACCGCCCTGCAACATCTGTAACTACAATCATCATCCCTCCCTTTGTTATTATTCCAAACCACCGCAGAACAGGACCTTATCAGTAAGATGTGAAACTTCACTGAAATCAACTCTCTACTTTCAAAAGATCCAACCAATAATCGGTCGAGAGGAACAACAGATATGAACTGCAATCAATCTCCATACGTTAGGAAACTCGAGTAAGCTCGCTCCTCAATCAATATGGTGAATTTCTCAAAGGATGTGACAGTAAATGACGCTGAAAGAGGGAAAGAAGAAGGGGGAGAGCAGAATTTGAAAAGTAGTATCTGTTGACCGCAACCAATCCAAAAAAGTTGAAACAGCGGACAACGAATAGCGGACAACGAATAGCGGAGAAGAAGACTTTTGTTCTTTCCTTGTTCATATTTTTTGTTGCTGTCAGGTGCTAGCCGCCGTAGTTCTGTGCAGGTTGCTCACTATTTTATTGTTTGTTTTTATTTGTTTGTTGTTTGCTTTTTTGTTTTGTTTTTATTTTATTGTTCGTTTCTCCTGCGCCACGTCTGGGCGCACTCTTATGAGTGTAACAGATAGATAAAAAAATAAATAGTAGTCCTGCACGAGAAGCTCAGTTGAGGCGACAGCTGGCCCCATTGCATTCTGAACAGAAATTTCGGCCAGGCGAACAGTAGAGAATATGGAGGTTGGGAAACAACTGGCTTGGATGGGGTACAGGCTGGAAGACTCTCGGAGAGCACCAGATCAGGTTGCTCAAGTGGTTGAATACCAGATGCGTGAAGGAGCAGTACCATTTCCTTCTTCGAGCACACGTGGGAAGCCACGGAATGTCCCAACTATCAAGGAGTCAGATTGACTACGTACACCATGCATCTGCACTAGCGGCTGGTCAACTCATAATTCATACACAAGTCACAACCTCAGTGAATCAGTTCGGCTTTATGCCAGAGAGGTCTACAATGGTTGCTATCTTCATAGCTAGCCAACAGACGTAGAAATAGCGAGAAGAGCGTATACCCTATTACCCGGCACTCCTTGGTCTAGAGAAGGCTTCCGATCGCCTTTCGCGACAAGTGTCCTAAAGAGCGCTCTGAGAAAGAAGCACCTGATCTCCCTCATCAGAAAAATGTACGTGAATCCAAGACGTCCATACGCACCCCATGTCTTAACAAAGAAAATGGACGTTGGGTGCACCAAGGATCGGCTCTGAAACCGTTCCCCTCCCTGCTCACAATGGATATTCATCACAGAAGAACTCATGGATGGACTGCAGATCGCTCCCTACATTGATATCATAGTTCTGATAACGGAAATCAGGGATGAACTCCGGGACGAGCTGCAGATATGTTAGAGGGTGCTGCATAAGAACGGGCTTCAGCTCAAGTCCGTTCCGTAGCTGTAAGGGGTACACGGAAGCAATCGTGGAAAGGGGAAGCATAAAAGGGTACAGGATTTCTGATACTTGGGCAGTTATCTGATGTTGGCATGGACCAGGCTGTAAAAGCCCGAATAAGTGCTGCATGGATGACACAGTAGAACAAGAGAACATTCAAGGATACCGAGAGAAAAGTGAAGAAAGCCGCAATTAGAAGGAGGTGGAGGCGGCTGACAAGTGGGGCGGACCCTGCGACAGCGCAGAGTTCACGCTTAGGAGGGGGAGGAGAAAAAGCTGCATATTTCCATCTAGCCGCATGCCACTCGCTACAATCCTAGTAAGGTCCACCGTGCACTAATGCCTCTACTTAACTGGTACAGACATGACTTTGCTGGCGCACTTGCTAATCGTATCCAGCACCACATTTGATCGTACTAATACCGCATTTCATCTGTTTCACTCGGTACAGGTATTCTTTTTTCGGGGTGCGGTTGAGGCCACACATTTTCGATTCGTGAAACGAGTGCGCCTCGAACTATTCCAGCACTCGCGATGCGACTTCAACCGCTTTTCGCTTCGCTACATGTTAATGGTCAACTCTGTTTCGCCTATAGAACTTTCTCACCTCCTCTTTCATCTCATGCTTTCGAGGCGCCTGATTCAGATGTACTATTGTCCTCCAGAGGTTTGCTAGACTCCTATCATACAATTCATTGTCCTCATACACCAGATTCTTCTTAACTGATGTTCGGAATGCCTTTTCTCGTCGATCACCGTACACGCGAGGTCGCAGCTGTACTGACATTTCAAGTCTTACGGCACTTGCTCAGGCGGATACTTTGAATTGTTGTTTGACCATTATCCTCAAAAGAAAATCGGCGCTAGCGTAGCGTGTTGTCTCAAACCCGTCCCTCTTTTAACAGGTCACCAGTAGCGTACAATGCATCTCTCATCTTAAGAAGACATCAGTTTGTCAACCCAATCCATCGCTAGCGAGGAACTGCGTGCGAACTCTTCACGAGGTTTGTAAACAAGCTCTATTAGGCTGACGTTTCTAATCTTCTTCAGAGCCTGAAAGGATCACAAAGATCTGTGACTATGTTCATGGTGCTTGTCGCGGAACCAGCGTTTTTCACTCTTCGATTCGCTGATTAGGTGATCAAAAAGGGAGGATCACCGCAGGGATCGAATTGCGCGCTATAGAAGAGTCGGAGAGCCAGCGCCCGTTCTCCTCCCCATTCGTTATATATATATATATATATATATATATATATATACATATATATGTATATA